GAGGAAAGGGGTTTTATGAAATTCCCTGTTTCCAAGGACTATTTCAAGAAGTGGGCATGTAGGAGGAGCATGGGATCTATACAAAACATTCTGAACTGCAGTCAGAGAGGTCATGACTAAAAGAAAAAGCTAAATGCAAGGAGAGCTTTAAAAAAATAAGTAAATTTTTTTGTCTTTTAGCTTTTTCACAGTAGATGGTCCCATTGTATTACTTCTGCTTTTCTTCACATTTATTTGATTTTATTGCTAACTGAATTCAAAACCTGAATATCTGTAGAAGATTTTGATGCATCTCTGGAAAAAAGAAAGGGGGGGAAGCCTACATTTGGACATGTCCAGTTGTCTGGTTTTCATAACCTCAGTATCTTAAACCTGACATAACTTCCAATACCTATTTAATATGCTGAGGCTCACCACTCTACTAGAACAAATTCAACAAGATTTCTTTTCTGAATTAGGCCTTCAAAGATCTTACATTTGAAAAATAATGGAACAGTGATCAAAATTATTTCTCTTGTCCAGAAATGTAAATTTGAACCATTTTATGTGATGCCAATAACATAAATAACCTCCTATGAAGTTTTCTATTTCAAGTATTTATTCTGGGCATTTTACTCAAAGAATAATCTGAGTAGAACAGCATGAAGAAATGCAACTATAACTACAATTTATTAAAATTTACACCATCACAAGATCTCACTTGCAGCAGCAATGTAACAACCTTCCAAACCTGTTCTTGTTAAGGACAAATAGCCATCACAAGCCTTAAAATTAGCAAGGCAAGTTTTACAGGAGACTGTATCTAGCAACACACTGGTGTGAAACAACAATCTGAAGGAATCAATGTCATCGTGCTAGAAAGTAAATATTTTTATAACCACATCCATAGCAACGACCAAACTCTCCACTTCTCCAAAGTGATCCATAAGACTTGACGAGGTGATTTAAAGCTCTGAGAAGGTATCACTAGCCATCATTTATCTTGGCCATGAAATTCCCAGGAAGACAAATACAGAGTCTTTTTGGGCCATCATTGTACAGAAAGGAAACACTCAAATGACATCTCTGGAAATTGCTATACTTGTTTCTTTTGAAACTATAAATCCTCAGGGGGTGGGGGTGTTTACACTATAGGAATAAGTATCCCTATCTTCCATAGGATGTATTTTTACTGCACTGATCTACTGAATTATAGACTATGTAACACCACTTACTGTCTTATGTACTACTTTTCACCAACAGACCTCAGTGTGCTTTACAAAGATTTGTATCCATATTCCATGAACAGAGAAGTAACTCAGATTAGAGAGCTGCAGATAAATCCACTGTCAGTAGTCACTGGCCAACTAAGGCCAGTGAATCCAAGTCTCCTGTGTCTGAAGCCCCTGCACTGCTCAGCAAGCATCATTACTTCTGTATATAAGCAATTTGGATAAGCTTCCACACACTAAAGCTGTGTTTCATGCCAGTTCCCAAAGGCCTCTCAGAAATCCAGTGGCATTTTCTATTTTGTTCTTTGCACTGAAAATAAACTGACCCCAGTTCTTTCCCAGTGAGTGGCAGGATACCTCACACACTCTCTGGTCATGGGAGCAGATGTAGAAGGCAATGGAAATCTGTCAGTGCCAGGTAATTTAGCCTACACTTCAGGCTACAGTTCTGCATTTGTTCATACTAGATGCTAGACAGTGCTAGACCAAACAGCATTACAAAATTTAAGCTGAACCAGGTCTTGGTACATGACTCCATTACTGCTGAATATGCACGGTCAACCTCATCCCAGATTTATGCTGGCTTTAAAGCAGCTATGTAAAGGACAGATAATGCTTGATCCATCATAAAAAAAAAAATCTTTATAAAGCTAACTCATTCTGAACAAGTTGGAAACAGCAGACTGAGTTAATAGCAGACCAGTGTTTCGCAGCATTGCAAAGAATCTCTTAGTAGGAGCTGTTAAGCTGAATTTACTGTGTTATTAAACCACAGCCTCAGTGCAAAAGTAGGCTGGTTACCAGCACACATGGAAATTCACACAGCAGTCAATTCATCTTCACAGCACACAAATTAGGGAGGTAAGAGCAAAACCTGATCGAGATCCTTCATTTAAGTGACTGAAAGATTTATGTGGTAACTGTGCTTTTCCATTCTCTCTGGTTGAAGAAAAACACAGATTTGCCCTTTGCCTGTACAAAGAAGAAAGCTCCAGTTTCAGAGCCTGGAGTCACAGACTGCACTCCTCTTGCTGCATGCACATCGCTGACTGACAGCAGCAATAATCAAATATTTATGCAGTCCCACAGTGCAAACTCTCAGAACATTTAACACTGTTGTTTAACACCCCTAGCTTAGCTTTAACATAGTACCCTAATGAACACAGGGTCTGACAGAAAAGTAGTCGCAATAACAGATATTGCTAAGAACAGTCCTCTTCCCTGCCCATCTCACAAGTGTCTCCAGAGCAGGGGCAGCCGAAGCAAAGGTATGCTCTTACAACAGCTGCTGTACTTCAGTGCTTGGTGCTTAGACTGAAAATGATCAGCCTACAAACCCCTGAGACTTAAACACAGACACACATACGAGCTGGTCCCATTTACAGGTTTGCAAATCCTTCGCAGAAGGACTGTGCTTTGAGCTGAGCAATGAGTACTGAGGGTCAGAAATATCCTGAAGAGCCAATCTGTGCAGGCAAGCCACAACTTTTATATGTAAAGGATGATCACAACAGGAAGGAACTGACTGATTTAGGGTATACGTAACTATTACTGCTGAACATGCAGAGCCAATTTTGAAATAGAGATCTTGTATAAAGCTAGTCATGCTCTCTTAAAGCACATTTTCTGTTGGAAAAAAACCCAACAGGCAGACTTGGTAGAAAAGGTTTGACCAAAACCAACCACACACACATACAAACTCACTTACTTGATTTTAATAACTGGTTTTATTTCAGCTAATTTCCTATCAATGTATTCACTAGTATGTTTTCCTTTAATTTCACAGCTACTCTCCATGCTTTAAAAATGTGAGGTTAGGAACCACAAGTATTTCTTCAAAGGCCGTATCTAGCAATATTCTACTTCTGTAAGACCTGCCTCATTGCTTTCAACTTTGTATTAAAACTGTCCTCCATTCTCTCAAATACGTCATCACAAACCAGTGTAAGTTCATCCACATTAGAGACTTCTGTAGTCACCTTCGGGTTGGCCAGGAGCTGTTTATCTTCACAGAGTTGATCAATAAAAATACATACATGGAAACCTGTAGCACAGACACAACTCTACACTAGCCTTCAAACTCAGGTAGCACTGAGGTTCCTTCTGAAGCTGGCAAACGTGTTATCGAGTGCTTAAAAAACTTAAACCAAAACTGGCTCTAAACGTCAGTATTAATGGACTCAAGCATCATAAAATGGTGGCTGAAGAATCATTTTATAATTACTCCAGGAATCAGTAATGGATAATAGGAAACAAAGTCCCCTGAAAACTATCATCACTATGTTTAGAAAGGTAAGCTACACAAATATCATCACCTGTCAATACAAACTAGAAATCACACTTCCAGTAAAGAGTAAGCAAGAGCCTGTCCATGCCCTGTGGCCATGTAGCTCCATGTAAGTGCAGCTGATGCAGTATTTTCAGCCAAGCTGAATATACGACATTCCAGCAGGGCTTGGGAAAAGCCTTGGGCACCTCTGTAACAATCTGCAGTGGGATCACTCCTCAGATAAAGTACAAGAAAAGTTCACAATTCTGTTGTAATTAGTAACTGAAAAAGAGCAGAAAAGAAAGAGGCTTTTCTTTCAAAAACTAAGACATCTTTATTCACAGATCTACCACAACTCTGACAGTGAAGCATCCCCTACAAACACCTACCTACTAAAGGTCGCCAGAATTCCCAACCACGCTGGCATACAAGGTACCAGCTGGTACCAAGCTCTGACTTCACACCCTCACCAACTACTTGCCACACAGCAGCTGGCAGCTTAACACGCATCCTCTCTCCGACGGCACTGTTACTGCCAGAGGTCCTACACCACACGTTAGCCTGAAGCCTCGCTTGGTTATTTTAACTTTGAAGTCAGCAAAACCAACAGTCCTTCCACTGCTCTGGTGAAGCACAATGCTTTCACGCCTTGAAAATGAATCTGGACGATAAGTTAATCCTTCCAGCATCATCAAAACGAAAACATCACACAGGAAACTCAAAAACTAAGGTGGGGCAGCCAGCTTTTTAAGTTTCTTAACTATTAATAGTGCAGATGAGCAGACTTAAAAGAAATATATTATTTTTAAGCGGAGATGCTGCGCATCTACTGCTTGACACACTGAGAGTAGGCAGTCCTGCAGAGGCATCCCAGCGTTGTGCTGTTCACTGCCTATCACTAAGACAAGTGACTAAACCCCATACTGCCTGGCCATCTGGGGATTTGTTTACACTTCATAAAGTACCCGCAAAAATAAAATCACTAGCAAAACCAAAAGGTGTTAGTTCATATCTTGGTCTGCACAGGTGTATCTAATCACTGAGACCATAAGGAAATGGGTTTTTATTGACCTACAAATGAAGGCAAGTTGCCCAATTAACTCTCACTTCGCGGTTATCAGTGCGCTGTAAAAGCACGAAGTGGATACAGAGGAAAAGCCTCCAAAAATCAGTTCTCGACTTGCCAAAACTAATTTTTCCGCCGCGAGAGCTGGTGATACCACAAACGCTGCGGGACACTACAGACTGCACGTGCCCTGTGTTACTTCTGCATCCCTCCACACTCTCCCCCGGCCTTGTTTCCCTTCCCGCCGCTTCACCTGCCCCAGGTACGGACCCCGCGAAGCCACCCCGAGGCCGCTGCAGGTGATGAAGTGAGTGTGGGGGGGCCCAGTCCAACCTCCAAACTGCAGCGGGAACTTTCCACAGCCGTGACCCGAAAACCTGCTGCCGGGCCGAGGCTCGCCCCCAGCCCGGCCCGGCTCCGCTCCTCCAGGGCCGCCCCCCCCGGGGTCACTCACGATCTCGGTCACCATGAGGAGCCCGGGCAGGGTCCGCAGGAACTCCCGGTCGTAGGCGAGGGTGCTGGAGCTGGCCGACAGGTTGGCGGTGAAGGAGCTGCTGGTGGTGGTGACCGTGTGGGAGCGAGGGCGCGGCGGCTGCTCCTGAGGCG